AAGGCCACCAGCAAAGCACCTACCCCTTCCCCCACGCGGGCTTTGTTCAGGCTCACAAGAAACTAAATTCAGTCATTTCTTAACTTCAGAGTTCTCACTTTTGCAGCGTCTTTTTGTTAGTTTAACTGAAGTTTTTCTGTGCGATATGCTAATTACATGTCAGCTCACTGGTCTTTACTTAGCCATGACCAGCGCCGCTTTCTGCAAAACAGACAGGTGAAGGACCAGCGATTTCTAACACATCCATCACTTACTCTTTTAAACATCGCAGACCCCTGCGGCTATGCACAGAGCTGCCCTATATAAAGGTGTGAACTTATCACCTCTGCTCGCATCTTCATTTCCCACCTCCCGCCTCCTCCCCTTTGCTCCGCAGCGATCGTGTCCTGGCCCCTTTTGCACTGCTACTCTGCCTGTGAACATGAGAACAGAGCAGAAAACAAAAGAATATATCCAGATCATCCCCTAGGAAAAAAAAAATGCTCTTCCACATTTCATTCTTGGCTTAACACATCGTGCTGCTCTCCCTTTGATGCTCTTCCTTGTTCCAAATTGGGCTTTTGCTTTCTTCAAAGTTTTACTTTAAAAGACGAGGTCCCACGATGGTACATCTCACCCTCACCCCTTCTCCACCACCTTTCTTCTCTACAACCCCTAGATATGTGGTGCAGAAAGCAAACAGCTTGTCAGGTGGTGCTATGGTTCAAGTTAAAAACAAAAGAAAAAACCTGTCATGCTGCTAATGGTGTTTTCTTGTTATTATGCCTTCTGGTGTGATAGATCCACAGGGTAACTAACACTGTCTGCATTGCTTCCTTTTCAGTGCTGATTTATTTTAACAGGTTATTCACTGCTTTTTGCCTAGGACAACTGTAGCGATGTGCAACATATTTATTCTCTATCCTTTTTGCTGCTAGAGCAATTCTTTTCCCATTGTATTTCAGCACCGTCTCCTCAGCAGCCCCTGACACATTGATGGTCACCACCAATTTGCTAATACACCGTTCCCATCTCTAGGGAGACCCAAGATCACTCTCTGCTCCATGCTGAGCTTAAGTTATGGCCCTTTAATAATACAAAGGCAGAGAAAAAAGGCAAGACATTTTCCAAACTCCCTTTTAAAATAAGCAAAGGTTCCTCTGTTCCCCTCACTCCACCCCCATGTTAGCAAACAAGCAACAGATGCAAGTGATTCACTTTGTACCTAAGCTTTTGATCTGGCTGCACTTTGATTTTCAGTGCTCAGTTTTGACAAGGAAGGGAATGAGAGCCCCATTTCTGTGACATTAATAGCGGCTTCTCTGCAGTGGTAATTTATTTGTGCCTTACTGATAACTTTCTGCTGATCAGTGGAGACTCCCGGTGACAGACGCAAAGAACAGGAGAGCGCAGTAAACCATGGCTTGCCATCACCGAGAAACATTTTATGTTGGCCCGGGCTGGTGTGGGCTGCTGTTCCTTTTGATAATTTTTTGCCAGTATGGCAAACCAGGACTGCAAGGAGCACACACCCCCACATTTCGGAGAGGAAAAACGCTGCAGAATCGCCCAAACCAGGTGTCCCCTTCAGGAGAGGGAACATCATTCCAGAGGACTGACATCAGGGAAGGGGACTGCTATTTTAATGCCTTTCAGGCAGCTAGTAAAACCAAGGGAAAAAACAGTGTTTCTCTGCAATAGCTCCCTCTTGCTAGGCCTTCCGCTAAGATCTTGCTGAAGAATACAGCGGACAAAAGCTTCTGCAGCCATTTTAATGCAAATCAGCTGTAAAAGCCATAGCCTGGTATTTAGAGTCCCCTGGCTCTTGCAAGGGCGCACTCTACTTCTGAGGGCCTGGGAGCCTCCCCCATGCAGGACAGGACAGGACCAGCTCCTTCGAGTGCCAAGCTCCTCACTGTGCTCATGGTGGCACCAAAGCAGAGGCAGAAGAGGCTGATCTGCAGCACCAGGACAAGGTGCCTTACCATGCGCTGCAAGGGCAGACGCTGGGATTTGGGACCATCGACATGTGATGTGAACGTACTGCTCGGCAGGAAGATGTGAGGCAAACCTGAAAGCGCTATCGTTGCTCCACAACGTTGTTAGGATGGGTGGCACACCACTGATTTTCCTTTAGATGCTTGTTCTTGTAAAATTAAGCTTAATTTGACATTAAGATTCTAGAAAATTAGGCCTGGAGATGAGGAAATAGAGTGAATTCTGAGTACTGACTAAGCCTGTATTGATTTTTATGCGCATGTTTCTCTATCACTGTTACTAAGCTGGTGACACTGTGAAGGGCACAATTATTTATGTTCCATCAAATTAGTAAGAAACTCAAATCCCTGACAAAATCTCAAGCAAAAATTGCTTTCACTGCCACAAAAAAGTCCTTCTGACATTTGAATTGTTCACTTACCCCTGGAAGGGTATGTAAAAAACAAGAGAACCTCACAGAAAAAATAGAAAGCTATACAAGAAAAATGAAAAACTGCATCACCACTCATCAGTACTATCCCTATATGGAACTGAGAATTAACTAAGCAAGGAAAATCTGCAGTTAGAGGTAGAGAGAGACAGAAAAACAAGGAAATTTTACTTAAATAGGCACACTGGGATGAGCCAAGCCCAAGGTTTGGTGGACTCTCCAGTCAGCAGAGGATGTACAAACACGGTCCAACTTAAAAGCAAGGTGGCCATCTCAGCATTATATATTCTTGATTTCTACATTACAGATGTGTACCTCTGTACTGTGATGAGCATTGCATCACAAGTAACGGTGGGCATGGAAATATCACAAAACGCAAAGAAACTTAAGGTTTCCATTTTGCCCTTCTCCATCTTCTTTTGTTGGGCCCCTGCTTGACCCTGGTGCAACACGATCCCCTCCCTTCCTTCCCTCCCGACCACACTGTCCAAAAGCCACAAGAGTTTTCCACTGTATTTCAGCCAAAATCTGTAGTCCCTTGGCATCCCGCTCAAAGGCAGCCAAACGGATGGCAGGAAGGGCCTTTTCGGACAAATTCATAAGATTGTGCTCACACAAGATGTAAGTAAATTACATGAAGGAAAGAAAGGAGGGTTCCTGGAATAAAAGCTCACATCTTTACTATTATTCTGCATAATAACATTAAAAAAGAGATACAATATTAGAATTTTTCACTGAAAAAAGTGTTCCATCAATATTTAAGTTAAAGGGAACAATTTCTTTGAACAACTACTTTGTAGGAGGAAATTCCCTTACTTTACTCACCAAAAAAAAGCTGTAGAAAAGGGCCTTTAATCAGGCCCTTTGAAACAGGAAGGAAAGCAAGATTTTCCTCTTTCTCTTCCTTAATGTTTTTAAAAGGAAACAAACTATTGAAGTATATCAAGTGATTTCCTTTACTTGAAACACTAGTAGCCTTTTGTGCATTGTGAGTAAAACAAAAATAAACGCCTTTTATCCACCCAGATTTCGCTGTGGGTAGGCAGCTCCGGGACGGACTAATCATTATATGGTCAGGGAATCACAACCTCGGGACCGTGTCGCATCCTCCCCAAACAATTATTTTGGGGAATGGAATAATCTTAGTAGGCACCGCAGTGATTACACGCTAGCGGCTACTTCAGCTGCAGCGGTGAGGAGCAAGAAAGGGAGCAGGAAAAAAAAGCATGAGTTGGATAAGACACCGTAGACCTTGCAGGGGGTAGAGCGTCTTGAAATAGGAGGCAGGTAGAAAACAAACCTAAACAAATATTTTGATCCAGTTAAATGGCAGCTTGACTTCAGTGTCACATTACACAAGCGCCGAAAAATCCTTGCAGCCCAGCTCGTTCTCGCTTTATTTTTGCTAGCCTGTTTTGTTACCCAGGGGGAGCCAGATAATAACATCTATTTCTGTGGAAAACAACGTAGTTCTTCAGCTCAGTGTGTTGTTTCTATTTCACAGCAGAACACTGCAATGTATAAACAGCAAAATCTATGGAAAATTCTCTAAATGAAGGACTTTATGGCACGTTATCATTTAACCCCTATTTTTCACTTTCATTGGATTTATTGGTGCTCCCAGCTGCAACATTAAATGGCTCTGAAAGCACAGTAATTAATCCAAAATCCTATTTGTTTTACTCTAACACTGTCAACTAGTTTTAGGTTTGCAGTCAAGAGAAAAAAAATATTTGTTAAGCTCTATAGCACTAGCTAATGTCTAAAGACAATCCTCTGAAAAGGTGCAAAGATGTTTTATCACAGCGCTATAGATGGGACGGAGATTTATTATCGTACCTAACACCATTCCAGCAGATGCCTTTTGAATTATAATGAGATTATTAAAACTTTACAAATCATTATATTAAAACCTGACAAGAGTACTTTTGGAACCGGAGCATCTCGATGTCATTGCTAATGATGCATTACCCAGGATAAGGTTTCAGGAAAGTTCCTAACTAAAAACTGGTTATAAAAATATAAAATATATTAATATTTATTTCAGTACCTGCTATAAGTTCAAGGATAATAGGTTTATATGCATCAGAACAGCCGAATGATCATATTTATGTCAGCATTAGAAAGATGTTCATCTGCTGCACAGTTTAATTAATTTTCACAGATAGTTAATTTTCTGTTTCATTATCAGCTCCCTAAATTTGAAAGACAAATAATTTATAAACAAATAGAAACTTCAGAGAGGAGTATTTTTAGAGCAAACAGAAGATAGATAGCTGGAGCGAAGCATCCGCGCTGCCTTCGAAGTCCTAATATGAATGATATATTGTACTAGGTTTTGATGGATAACTTACGCATTCTGGCGCACTGACTGAAAAGAAACAAATTGTTTACTGTTAACCCCAACCCATTTTCAGGTAACAAATGACTCTGATCTTTACCAATCAAATAATGCCTTTAATGCCCTTAAACATCAGCGCACGAGGAATGTACAGGCTCACCACGTCCTTCCAGGGGTGACCCGATCCCTTAAGGACAATATTCCAGCCCTTCTCCCCTTCCCAGTGAGAAGAGAGTTTAAGCGGCTACTTACCATGATGCACGACGCCCTTCAACCCATGGATAATGGGATCCAGCGCGGGATTGTCCCTCTGACTGACCTACATGCAAAGGATACAGGATTGGTTACATCCATTCAGGCATCAGACAGAACAGCCTCAGTTTAATCTTCTAAAGGTGGTGGGGGGGGAAAGATGTTATCTAACAAGCTGCTTAGTTCTAACAATGACTCTTCACCAAATGCCAGTGATACGTGGCGTAACAAAACAACATAGGGACAGTTAAAACAAAAGAAAGTGTCCTCAGAATTCATTAAAACATTAGCAATGTTATTACCTCAAGAGCCTAAAAACAGAGAGTTGATTTTCCCCAGCTACTTCTGCTTTCACGGAGGAGAACTGCCTCAATAAACAGAAGTTATCATAGAACGGCCCTTATCGACGCTGGTATAAATCTGGGGCTGCCATGGAAATCGGTAAAGCTGGACCCTTTTCATCCACAATGGACTTAGGCCTTGTCATCTCTTTGCTATTCCTATTTTGAAATCTATTTAATTCAGTGCCATTTGGACAAGAGAGGGGAGAAGAGCTTTAGGAGAGGATCTAGAGAAAGCCTCTGATTTCTGACTATGCATTTGCCAGCCCTGCCAGACCAAAAGTTGGTTTCCCAGAGCGTTTCTTCTGTCAGTCAGCAACCACCTGCATCCTCAGCCAAGACGAGACCCGGCCTCAGAGAGGAGAGGAAGGCAGTGGGAAGTATTAACCCTCTTCTTCCCCACACCAAGCTCGCACAACTTGCAAATTAAACTCAGCACTTTTGTTGCTTACCTGCAACACAGCCAAGTGATTTAAAACCAATAATGCCTTTTTTTTTTCCAACCGTTTTCTCCTCTTCTGAGGTATCGAAGGAATAACTCACAATTTGTGTGAACGTGTTCCGTTACTTAAGATATTTGCCATTTTACTTTTGGGAAATAAATACTGGCACACACACCTGACTCATGCAATACTATTTTTTTTCCAACTAGTCAATAGCAGGAATCTCAGTGTTGACCATTTTTGAGCAGACCATTCCCAGTGGTGAAGCACATCGATTGCACAACAGTTCCTGGACTTTGGTGGCAGCCCATGATGTTGATGTCGCGAGGAAACATAGGGTTTAATCACTTTATTGGAACATAAAGACATATGAGGAAAGGAGCGGAGACAAAGTAGAAATCTATGAGAAAGAAGCTTGTGCGCCAAGCAAGGAGCAGGACCGCTTTGTCGCATGAAGCACAGCGCTGGGTGAGGAGCACGTTCGTAGGAAAAGGCACGTGCGAGGATTTCCAGTGACGCCTCTGAGAGCGAAGGCAGCCCGGGAGATCTCGGAGGTGGCATGACAGGCGGTAAGATAAGGGTGAGGGATGGGCGGGAACGCCGAGTGCAAGACGATGAAACCAGTGATTCAGCCTCCCCTTCTCACCAAGATTAATAAACCAGCCCTAATGACAGGCCAGGTAAAATGTCCCCACCAAGAAAGCGCTGCCGCAGCAGAGACCTTTGCGGTGCTCCGTCACCGCCAAAGGTTACATGTCTGGGTGTTATGGGATCCCTGCTGCCTGCCATTAATTAACCAACAGTTTAGACCATCCCTGCTACATCAGTGATCTCTCGCTGGTGCTGCTGCTCTTGCTGCTATTTCTGCAAGCTGGATGATTTAAAACTCCATTTCCACAGTTAAGCGATGCTACTGTTTTCAGGCAGGCTTCTCAGGCGAAACATTTATTTACTGGGTTTGCCTAGGGGCGTCGCTTAATCTTTGAAGTTGTAGAATTCTTAAAAAAAAAAAAAAAACTGATTTAAAGATAATCTCAGCCACAGTTCTTGATAACGTTAGTTGCTTTCTATGTTGTTTATCAATTACAACACTTTCTTTCAGAAGCCTTTTCAGCAGTTTCCTTTTCCGATGAACTTTTACAGAAAGGGTAAAAAAAATGTTTGAGTTAGGGTGTATTACCGTAAAAGTCACAAACACTAGCAACCTGTTGGAGGAGAAAACTGGAATCCAATGGCCCAAGTCCCACAGGCACAAGCATGCCTCCTCCCTTGCTTCTTCCCCATTATTCTACAGGAATCTCAGAAATCTCACTATTTTTTAAAGCCAATTGCACTGAAAAGCTATTTTTTTCCTGTTCATGTGTCTTTTGCCCTTTGAATTACTGTGCTGTGCTCAGGATGCATTTTCACATATATATATATATGTATATATAGAGAGAGAGCGCGCGAGAGAGCACGCACTATATACATATAGCTTAGATGTTTCTGGCAATAATATTATTAGGCCTGAAGGCTGTAAGTTCTTTGAAGCATGAACTTTTATATGCCCAAAGGGGTGCTTTGTACACTTTGGACTCTGTAGAGATAGTAGTAACAGTACACTGAGCCCAGGGACCCACTGTGTAGGTTCTGTCTGGCTTTTGGCAAATTAGGAGTAAACACTTTAAAAAATGCAGAGTTGTCGGAAGACACGTTCCTGCATCTTTTCCATTTATTTAGGTTTCTCCAAGCCATGGATACCACTAAAAAAAAAATCATTAAACAGCTACTAGCAATTTAGTACACAACAGTAACAAAAACTTGCACTGGACTTGAACAGTGCTTTATTTGTTGTTATTTAACCGTTAAGTTGTTTGTAGAGAGTCTTATTTTGTTTGCTTTGTCTTTATTTCTGATGACAGCTGCAATCAGTTCAGAGCAAGAAAATAGATGGAAAGAATCCTAAATGTTAAAAACCTTCCTTTTGGGATTTTCTGTCAAGGTACATCAGTTGTAACCTACCAGCCTTGGCAGTGCCCCTTCAGTGCACTGAGGGGCTGTATCTATTATAGATCTGGCTAAGCAAGTATTTTGATACGCGTTCTGCAGATGTGTCGTGTTCTTCAACAGCATGAAATCAAGAGACATGCTCTGCCTTTGGTTTGGAAAGAAATGCGCTGTGCATCTCTAGCCACATATCCTCCGAGAGTAGAGAAGGTGGGACCTCATGTTTCGCTAAAAATCACATGCAAACAAGTAGCACTTGGGGAGATTTCAGTTCTGTCCTGATTGGGATACAGTCTTATTTTCCCTCCAGATGTTCTTCCTTTTTCTCCTTCTACTCACACACTGTTCTCCCACATCCCAGTATACCCTTTTCAGGATCTTGGCAAGACCATGAGAAAAGTGCCCAAAAGCTTTCTTATTTTGTGTAATGGGTCCAGCTTCAGAGAAAAACTTTCATCTTTCTTTTTCCTTTAAGTTCTCAAAAAAAAAAAAAGAAAAAGAAGAAGAAGAAAAATCCATCCATGAATTTCCTCTCTTTGTGCACTTGTCTGTATGCTTTTTCTGTGTTCATAGACAAGAGAAGGTTTCTGAAACTCAGAATGTCAAGTCCTATCTCTTATTGCTGCATGCCTCTGGTTTAACTGGCCTAGAGCTACCGTGCTGGCTCAGATCAGAGATTTACCTGTACAAGAATCCTGTCTCTGACAACAGCTGAAACTTAAAAGAAGCAGGGAGGAAGAGGAAAGAAAAAAAGGACAACATCTCTAGAATAAGAGGTGTCCTTCTGACCCCCTTTATGATTTTATGTCATAAAGCTTGAGGTTATATCCCTCTACAAACTGTTTTTTCTCTGTTTTGTTATATAATCTGTATTGTAGTAGTATATTTTTTATTATCTTACAAATACATCCTAAAGGGCAACAGCGATGAATTCCTCAGACTGATGCGTTGGCTGCAGCGCTAGAGGAAACCCATACATCTGCCACCAGCTCTCGACATCTAGGCTTCACCCAACAAAAGGACCGTGAAAGCTGAGCAAGGCTTTTCTTCTCCCTAGAGAGGAGAGCAATGAGTTTCCCCTCCTGTTTTGAGAGGCTAACACAGAAGAAAATTCACGAATGAAGATTTCTCTAGCACAGGAAGCCCACGCACAAACACATACTCGCTATGCCGCTGGTTACAAGGGCTCTGTGCGGCAAAGATTAATGAAAGAATGGGAAAACATCAACCTGAAATTGCCCTAAAAATACCCGCAGAACCACCACAAGCATTGCTCCCTGAAAAAGATGCATTCACTCAAGTCTGACTAACACCATATAGGGTCTGCAGCAAACTGGATAAATAGTGCTTGTGAGCATCATTTATAATTGAACGATGCCTGTAATCCTCTTTGCAGAAATAAATAGGTAACTATCATGCTAAGTGCAAGGGAAAATAAACACAGGAATATCATTATGCAGCTTCCTATGCTAACAGAGCTCTCACCACAGGGTAAACAGCGGATGAAGGTGATACGAGGAAGCAAAATCTCTTTGTTTGTCATAGCTTTTGAGTGCCTTCAGTACCTGGTGCACGTGCCAATCTGGGCTTGACTTCAACGCAATGAATCAAAGAAGCATCCAGCGACGTAGGAAAAGGTTATGCCTAAGCGACCCCACTCTGCAGCCACAAATGGAGATGTTCTTCAAGCAAAGTCACGGTGGAAATCATAACCCTGGACAGGCTGCATTTAGTTACAGCTCCTGTTTTGAATGTCAGGACCGAGAGACGATTCATTCCTCAGTTAGCAGCGAGGTTGATCAGTCATGATCTTATCGACAACGGCGTTAACACCTTTCAGCAGCACAACCTGCTGTCGCCCTCCTTGGAAGGGCCATTCCTACAGCTCTGCCCTCGGAGCCAACAGGGCGGGAGACAGGCCGGGGAGGCAGGCACCTTCTCAGGAAAATGTTATTAATGCATTTATGTACACATGCTATTTATGCTTTTAATTTCAAAAGAGGAAAGTTCCAGCGATACACGGAGCGGGAGAGTGACAGGAGGACAGACAACACCATAGCTGTGCTGATCACACTAGGGCAAGCATCAAACCGCAGCATGTAAAGATAGACTCTACAGGGCAAGGTGTTATTTACTCTAAAGAAACCCCTTGTGTTACAGCACTACTAAGCTCAGCATGGCCTAATGAGGTAAAAGATCAGTGCACATTCTCTGTCGTTCATTATACATTAAGTAGCAGCAGCTCTCTGCTCGTCTTATTTTACAGAACAAACCCAGAGCTTCTCGAAGCCCGATTT